CCCCTCCCCCTTTTCTGATGAAGGGTCTAGGCCCGAAACGTCAGCCTCTCTGCTCCTATGATGCTGCTTGGCCTGCTGTGTTCATCCAGCCCTGCACCTTGTTGACACTGCTTCACTGCTTTTCAATTCTATTCCACTAGAAATAGATGCCAGGCATCATTTGGTCCTTTTTAAGAAATGGCCTTATTGATCAGAATCACTATTTCCACTGATTTGTGTAACTATAGCCCAAATCCCCCTGCTCCTCTGTCATTCAGTCACTTTTTTGCCAAACAACATGTGGTCTTCATATTCTTCCTACCAAAGTGTACCATTTCACACTTACCTATAAATGAATTTTCAATCACATGCTTAAGCTGTCTTTTAAAGTCTTTTTTGTATTTTGTCACAGTCCTCCTCTGTATTAACTCTAACTCACAATTGAGCTTTGTCTGCAAATTTTTAAATTTGAAATTGTACTTCTGATTCCAGAGCCCAAATCATTTATGTAAATAGTGAATCACAGTTGTGCCAACAAAAATCCTCATGGAAGTAACGCTTCCACTTTTTCTAATCTGAGTAAAATCTTTAATCTCTATTGTTTGTCTAAGTTTGTAGACAGCTTGGTATCCATTCTGCTGCTTGTCTGCTTTTGAAAATCCAAATATACATGACCCTTTGTTCAATTATTTGTTCAACGAATGCAACAGGTTAGGCACAATCTTTTTTTCTGAAATCCATCTTGACTGTTCTTTATTATAATATTTCAGTTACTGGATATTATTTCTGTTCTATTCTTGATTGAGGATTCCATTATCTTTCCTTTCACTGGTGTTACACTAACTGGCATATACTTGTTCTATCTCCCTTTTAAAAACAGCAATCCCATTAACTGTCCACCATTGCTATTGCATTATTCCGTTTATGAATAAAGTTCTATATGTACACATAATTGGGATTCCACATTCTTTTCTCTCACCTCTCTTAACATGCAATCCATCAAGCCGAGCAATTATATCTTCTGAGTTTTATTATGATCTCCTCATTCTATCTGAAACATTTTAATTTTTTTTTGAACTCTTCTAATATCATGCCCACAATGTTATTTCCCTATTAAATTCTGTGGTTAAGAAATTACTTAATATTTCTGCCATTTTTCTGTCATCTGTAAGTTTATCATGTTGACACATTAATGGTCCTATCTCTACCTCGATTTTCTTTATATATGTGTATGTCGAATGCATTACTATTTATTTTGGGATTCTTTGATTAAACATTTTTGTTACCTGACTCCTAGTTCAGCAGAAAAGCCACAGTAGAAACAATATGCAAATAAAGACAGAAACACATAAATAGAAGTGAATGATAGAAATCTGAAGACTATCAAACCTTGGGTCCATATTAACAATTTGAAAATCTATTTTCTAAAGCGCCAATGTTCAAATTTTCTTGATGAAAGTAAATTTCTCTACAGTTTTGTAGCCTTTTTGGAAACTTCTTGCTTTAAGGTGAACATAGCTTACGATCAGCAGGCATAATGACACTTTCATTAGCCATATATTGGTCATCTTATCACTTCCAAGAGAAGCCAAGTTGGTCCAGAAAAAACAACTTTAATACTTTAATTTCAGTTCTAAATATTTTCCCCAAATACTTCTCACAAAAAGCTGAAATTCCTCTGGTGGAGTTTGTAAAATATCTTCATTCATGAGAGGTGGGCACTGCTGACCAGGTCTGCATTTGTTGCCCATCCCAAATTGCACTTGACAAGGTAATGGTGAGTTACCCTCTTGCATTGCTACAATCGATGTGGCATTCGTACACCCACAGAGCCATTAGGGAGGGACTTTGACAATAACAACCCTAAAGGAATGGTGTTATAGTTCAAGGCAAGATGGTGTGTAGCTTTAACATGAACCTGCAGATAGCAGTGTAAAACATCTATTATCCTTGTTCTTTGAGGTGGTTTTGGATTTGGAAGAAGCTAAGGAGCCTTGACAAGTTGCTGCAGTGCACACTGCTGCCACTGTGAAACAATAGTGGATGGAGTGAATATTTAAGGTTGTGGATTACATGTCAATCAAGAAGGCTGTTTTGTTCTCGATGGTATTGAGCTTCTTGAGTATTGTTGAAACTGCATTCAGTCAGGGAAGCAGACATTCCAGACTTGTGCTCTACAGATGGTAGACAGGTCTTAGAGGAATCATGAGGTGAGTTATTCACTGTAGACTTTCCAGCATCTGATCTTCTGTTGTAGTTACAGTATTTATATTGCCAGTCTAGATAAGGTTCTGGTAAATGTTAGTCTTCAGGATGCTAATAATGGGGGATTCAGCAATGGCAATATCATTGAATGTTAGAAAGAGCTGGTTTAATTCTCTGATGTTGGAGATGGTCATTGCCTGCCACTTATGTGGCACAAATGTTATCTGTCACTTAACAGCTAAAACTTGTGCCCAGGCCCTACTGCATATGAACACAGGGTGCTTCATTATCTGAGTAGTTACAAATAGTACTGAACATTGTGCAATCATCAGCAAACATCTGACCTTAAGAAGGAAGGATGGTCATTGTTGAAGCAGCTGAAGATGATTGAGCCATAGTATCCTGAGGATCTTAGTGTTCTTCTGGTATAGTGGTAGTGCCCCTACTTCTTAGCCAAGAGACCTGGGTGCAACCCCTCCTGCTTTAGAGGTGTGTAATAACATTTCTGAACAGGCTGATTAGAAAATATTGATCCTGAAGATCTCAGGTAATGATGCTCTAGGACTGAGTTGATTGACCTCTAACAACCACAGCTATTTTCTTTTATGCTAGGTATGTCTTCAACAAGTGTAGCGTTTTCTCCCTGCTCCTCACTGACATCAGTTCTGCCCCATCTTCTTGATGCCATTTGGTCAAATGCTGCCTTGCTGGCAAGGACATGGACTCCTGGCTTATCTTGAGTTCACTTCTTTTGTCCCATGTTGTCAGGTGTTTTGCAGTACCCAATGCCTTCAAGCATTTCTTGACTGGTTAGCATCTGAGATACAGGGGGCCTCAGAAAGAGGCCAAGATAAATGTTCCATTTGGTACTTGCAAAAGATAGTTGCAAATGCTTCAGCCTTGTTTTTGCAGTGGTGTGATGGGGACTTTTGTGAAGCCTTCTCCTCTGGTTAATTTTTAATTGTTTACCACCAATTATGATCAGACGTGGCAGGCCTGCAAAGTACAGACATAAATATTCCTGTTGTACAGAGCCTTAGTGAGACTCTAGGTGGAATACTGAGCAGAGTTTTGGTGTTCTTATCCAAGGAAAAATATATTAGCCTTAGAGGAAGTGCAATAGAGGAAGTTAATACTTAGATGCCATTCTCCTACCATTCTATTTCAAAAAGAACAAATGAAAAATGCTGACAGCCTCTTTTACTGTGATCTTTTAGCTGAAACCCGGATGGTTCCACTGCTAACCTCCTGGTGAAAGCAACCAAGGCAGTTAATAAGTCAGGTGTTGGATCTAGACGGAAAACTGACAGCCAAATCCATAACTAAAAATCACAATTCTAATCAATAACTGTGGGCTACGAATGATGGCTTACTTGATAAATGGGTTGCAAAACATGGATTGCTCTCATACAACTACGTTCTCTGAATCAACAGATTACTTGGTTATTTATTTGCCAGATTTATGGTTTAACTTGCCAACAGTTTGATGTCAGAATTAATTCTTAATATAAACCAAGCTACTGGATGCATTATAAATGGATTTAGGTGAGCTTCCTTTCTGCTTTCCACCAGGCTGTTCTTGCCAGTAAAGTCCACGGAATAAGCAATTTCAATAAAATGCAACTAGATATGATATAAAGTCAGCCAGCTCCAGCAGCATATCAAGCCCAAAACAGTACTGATAATGCTTACTGCCCAACTTGGGCAAATGATTTTGCTATGTTCTGTGCTTCCTTACACAGGGGTCTTACCTGATCAATATCCCCTAGGCGACAGTGGACATCTCGAGACATCTCTTGCAGCAAGCTCGCTGGACTTTTGCGCAGCACGTGCAGGCTAAACATCATACTCATCAACCCTTTACAGAAATGTACATCTTCTGTAGAGCCAAGAACATGTTTATACAGTTTTATACAACATCCACTTAAAGATGTGATCACAGAAACATCTGAAGGCAGCAAAATGTTATAGAAATCGAACAATAACTTGTTTCCCTTGAGGTTAATTTTGAGACTAAGGGATTTAATCTTTTGTAATCATTATAGATAACATACCTGCAAGTCTAATATGCATCTGCCTAACAGAACATTGCCATTATTGTTCTCTTAATTGGTCAGGAACCTGAAATATTCAGAACTTATTAATAAATTGCTTTTACCCTTCTTTATTATTTCCATGAAAAAATCTATATAAATCTAACTTTAAAGATTCATACTTAATGGACAATATACCAAGGGCAATTTTTTGCAAGTCCACTTAGGAATCTGCTGCAAGGACTGCAATTAAAACATTACATCTTTTCTCTTTGGAATTCTGGTGGACCCATCTCTCTTTTCTAACATTTTTAATTTCGTCTCTAAATATTATGAATCTCAGGTCTGTGCCTGAAGTGCTCTTACCTAGATTATTTTCCTTGCAGATTTTTACAGTCCATGTTAACATTTGGCCAAACTATAACCGAAACAAAAAATAGATTAATGGTACATCAAATCATACGCAGATTTATCAGCACATAATGTTTCACCTCAAATTATGATAGGAAATATATGCTTTGAATTGTAAGTAAAGCATTTAATTGAAATAAAAAATCCTTTTTTCGCTTTTCAGTACCAATATGATGAAACTAACAGCCTGCCAAAGAAAACTGGCATTGTCATAGCAACATATTTAGTGTACAGAAAGGGATATAATCAGTGCTCCTATTCCAAGAATATCTCTATCGTGACTACTTTTGCAAAATTGTTCACTGTGTCATTATGCTGACTATGTTTCTTAAGTACCTGTCTGCTTTCCCAAGTTTCTTTCTTCTTCGTATATTAGCAGAATTTTTTTTTAAATACTGGAGCAATATCACTGCAATTTTCTATACAGAAGAATAAGACAGCTGAGGGGGAAAATTTCAAAACTACAATGCATTACACATTTCTTTACACAGAGTGGTGGGTGCATCGAATGCACTGCCGGCGGTGGTAGTGGAGTCAGATCCCTTAGGGACATTTAAGCGACCCTTGGATAGGCACATGAATGATAGTAAAATGTAGGGTATGCCGGGTAGTTTGATCTTAGAGTAGGATAATAGGTTGGCACAACATTGTGGGGTGAAGGGCCTGTACTGTGCTGTACTGTTCTATGTTCTATTACACTCTCTGCCAGTTAGCAAGATATCAGACACTGCCAAAGTGATCAACAGAACTGAATCTTATAGGGGTCTGAATGACATAGAGAAGTCTGGTAGAATCTGGTGAATCCAGAGAGAGCTTTCACAACATTGGGAGCAACTCATTGCTTTTACGTTTCAACATTCAGACAAAATTCCTGCTAGGTAGCAGAGAATTTCCTTTCAGTCAGGTTTATTGCTTACTGATGATCTTACTAACTGCAAATCTCACTTTATGAACATGCAGCTTTCCATCCTACCATCCACTACAAGCAGTTCAGAGTTCTCGATATAGAAGACACATCTGGTACCTGGCAACTCCAGCTCACCACTTGCTCCAAAGGTTCTCCATTTTGGACACCAGACAGTAACATTGCCAATTGGATACAAAATTGGCATGACGGTAGGAGACAGAGTGGTGGTGGAGGGTTGTTTTTCAGACTGGAGGCCTGTGACCAGCAGTGTTCCACAATGATCGGTGCTAGGTCCACTTTTGTTTGTCATTTATATAAACGATGTGGATGAGAATTTAGGAGGGATGGTTAGTAAATTTGCGGATGACTGCAAAATTGGTGGTATAGTCAACAGTGAAGAAGGTTATCTAAGATTACAAAGAAATCTTGATTAATTGGGCCAATGGGCTGAGGAGTGGTAGATGGAAATTAATTTGGATAAATGCATGGTATTGCACTTTGGTAAAACGAACAAGGGCAGAACTTATACAGTAATGGCAGGGTAGTGTTGTCGAACAGAGAGACCTAGGGTTTGAAGTACATAGTTCTTTGAAAATTGCATTACAAGTAGACAGGGTGGTTAAGAAGGTGTTTATCACATTTACCTTTATTACTCATACCATTGAGTATAGGAGTTGGGATCTCATGTTGAGGTTGCAGAGGACGTTGGTGAGGCCACTTTGGAGTACTGTACAGTTCTGGTCATCCTGCTTTAGGATGGTTATTACTAAATTGGAGAAGGTTCAGAAAAGATTTACCAGGATGTTGCCAGGACTGGAGGGTTTGAGTTATAAGGATAGGCTGGGACTTTTCTCACTAGAAAATAGGAGTTTGAGGGGTGACCATATAAAGGTTTATAAAATCATAAGGGACATAGATAAGGTGAATAGCAAAGGTCTTTTCCCTGGAGTGGGGGTGTTCACAAGCAGGGGGCATATTTTTAAGGTGAGGAGAGAAAGATATAAAAGGGACCCATGGTGCAACTTTTTTACACAGAGGATGGTTTGCATGTGGAATGAACTGCCAGAGGAAGTGGTGACAGGTACAGTTACAACATTTAAAAGACATTTGGACAGGTACATGAATAGAAAAGGTTTAAGAGGGATGTGGATCAAACCCAGGCAAGTGTGACTAGTTTAGTTTGTAAAACTTGGTCGGCACGGACTACTTGGACCAAAGGATCTGTTTCCATGCTGCATGACTCTATGACTCTACCTCAAAGCATGATAGACAGGCATCAGGCAAATGCACCTCACATCAATGAACACTGGCATACGACATGTATCAGTCTCTAAGAACCCGTGCAGCACACTTTTGGACTTCAGTGCTCTACCTTGGGGTGCAGTGACAATTGTCACTGTAATGTTATAGCAGGGACATTTTGTGCTCTGGGACACAGACTCAGCGTTTGAACTGATTTGACTGCATCTCCAGGCAGTTCATTATTCTTTTACTGTTCACTCACTTTTAGCTTACCTGGACGCTCACAGCACCCCTGCCTTGCCTCCCAGTCAGTAAAAGCAGACTCACAGTACTGCTACATTGCCATGCTGATTAATGCAGATGGAAATCCAGGAAATTGTCAGGGTTGTCAGCAGGTCTCAGTCAAGTCAAGGAAGATAGTCTTCAGCCAGGGGATCCCAGTGCAGCAAGTCAAGGAAAGCCACTGACACCAGTCCAGGGGCTTGGACACAGTCAGTCAGTCAGTCAGCTGCTCAGGGCAGTCAGAGTCATCTTCTCCTCTTAAGGATTGAGGAGCCAAATGTAGGCAGCCCATCACATGCCCTTACTCTTTCTGTCCTATTAGAGGCTTTTGTCCTTCAGGAATGAAAAAGAGGCAGGTTTAAGAAAGATGAAAGCAAGTGACGTAGCTGTTACTTTTGATGCAGGTGCAAAGTGTCCTGAGTGAATGAGGAGACAGCGCAAAGGGCATGCGGAGTTTACGTTGCTAGGAGATGGAGTGGATGACAATGATTGAGAGAAAATGTTGCGGGCAACAGTGACAGTGATACAGCATGAGCCTTGATGGGAGATGAATACAATAGCAGAGATTGTACAGTGAGTGGTAAAATAAGGCTGGAATTAGATGCCATAGGGGCAGGGTGGTAAATTAGTGAAGTGCATTTGATAAGATGCGGTGAAAGAACTTCCTAGGTGTCACAGAAAGAAACCCTCCAGAAAATTCAACAAAACTGACACTTCACCAAAAAAAGCACAAGATTCAGCTCACAGCCTTCTGACCCTTAGGCAGTGCTATATTAGTAGAAACCCACTAGCTTGCAGAACATGAAGACATCTGCCAAACAGACAAGCAGTTTTCTTTCCTCTGTTTCACCAGCTTCAAATTCCTCTTTCCCTATCTGATGTGCTTAGAACACCAAGCTTGACTTAAAGCAATCAGTATTAAATAATAGATTATTTTAAATGAAGGGAGCATCAGATACAGCTTTTATATAATGTGTTACTTATTACATAATGGATAATAAAGGCTGCACACAACTTGAACATCATGACTCACAAGCTTGCCAATCTTTCTTCATTCTATAAAATCACAGGGCTGCTCTCTCATTAGACAGGTGAGAGTCACCTCCCCTAAGGCTAGGGGAGGGGATGAGAAGGACAGTCTTTCATGGTAATCTCAGCCAGTGTGGGAATTGAACCCATGCTGTTGGCACCATTCGGCATCGCAAATCAGCTGTTCAGTTAACTGAGCTAACCAACGCTCTTATGCTCATGTAATACATACTCAAAACAAAAACACTTTGATTTTCTTTACCTGCATAGGGCCTTTTCTACAGAATATATATTGATGGCAACTTCCAGAAAACATGTAAAACATGGTTTGTTTCACTGGATTATGCCGGGATCATTCATCATTAGCACAAAGAGCTTAAATACAATCCAGAATGGTAAGAGGAAAACCTCTATATCTGCTACATGGCTCAAGTAAAATGTGTTTGGAACAATCTTAGTGCAGTTTCTCATGGGCTTGGAACCACAGCACAAATCATGCTTAATCACCACTTGCCCTTAACAGAACAGAATTACGGAGCATATATTAAGATAGCTGCTGTGGGACATGGAAAAGCATTACATGTCTGCAGGAGTGATCATTCTTTTGATGCTGGAGCTGATGAGAATGTCGGCAGTTAATTCTTCCTGCAACCGCTGGACTCTTAGAATAAGAGCCATGTTCCATTCCTTCATAATAACATCTTTTACCTTGTTACTCACAGAACAATAGAAAAACAAACTGGAGCTTTTTTTGTGACTTTCACTCTTTGCATTATACTAGTGAAAAACTAGAAAAAGCTGTCAGGTTAATGTCTACGTACTTGCTCAGTTGTGGGTTCTAATAGCCGAGAGAGTGTTGACAGTATGCTCACTAAAAGCTGTGCTTCCTTGCTGTTAAAATCCTCTTCATCCCCACTCAGTTGTGTCACAAGGGATCTCTGACAGCAAATGGATCAGAACAAACATTTCTTAATGTGAATGGTGAATAATACAGAAGTATTGCATGCACATAATCAGAAACATATTTCCTGTAGGTTGCTGCAGGTTACAATTAATAATATTGAAAGATGATCAGCTCTGATTTAAAAGCAGTACCATGCATAAGAAACTTACCTGGAACTGTCTGATGTGGAAAGCTGCTTTCTCTGTAATGTTGATGTCCTCCTGTTCTCCTTCCCCATCACTCACCACATCTAAAAATAAAATAGACAAAACATTTTTCTCCATTTTCTCTTCTAAAGGGTCAGTGTTCCACAGGCACCTCTCCACATTAGACAGATTTCAAAGAATCTGATGGGTGCATCAAGTACTTCCAGATCAGTTAGTTTTGGTAAGCTAAGAGTAACAATTCTTTTACAATGATTCTCCCAAATCTCCCAGGAGAGGTAGCGTTCAGATTGGATAAAAAGTAAACAATTTATCTCTCTTCAATCAAGTAAGTTGACTGCAGGACAGTTCCCTCCACATAGTTCCAATAGCATGCTCCAATCTCAAGCACAGGAGAGATCCCCATGGAATGCATTCTAATTCATTAAAGGCAGACTCAATTCAGCCGAGTAACTTTTCCCAGTATTTTCAAGGTGTTGGTAGCTGGACTCCATCCTTTCCTCTTCTGCTTTGTTACATTCCTGCCTACATCCCACACCATTTCTAATTTATGCCTTAATTTATGCAAAACAAGCTCCAATTTTTTTTCCCCCTGAGAAAGGAAAGCATACTCTAAGAAGCAGTCAAGGCAAATATCAACTTGATTTTAAGCAACCATTCAAAACAGTGTTTCCTTTCACATCAGTGGTCAGTTAAAAATTTTGGGGTGCAGTGTGAGAAGGAAAGAATAAAAAGAAATCAAACTACACAACTACTCCAGTGTTCTTAAATATTAGAAATCACAAAGCTTTGCATGCATGAATTGCATTTCAAACGAGACTGTTAAAGATCAGCAATCAAGTGCAAAATTAAATAAATCGAGGCAGGTGTTTGTCAGCAATTTTAGTTATAGTCTAACTTGCTGATACAGATAATTTTTAAAGTGACTCAAATACATAGGTTACTATGAAATTCATATTTTTACTATCTCTGGGTTATTGGTGATATATTCCCAACAATGACCAAATTAAGAATAGTGTGGAAGTGCTTGTGACAGTCTCAACTGGCACTTTGACAAGATTTCAAGATAAAGTTTCCTTTCTCATGTAATCAATTTTTAGACCATAACTACAAGATATAGCAGCATAACTGGACAATTCAGCCCATCAAGCATGCTCCACCATTTGATCATGGCCAATACATTTCTCAACCTGTTTCAATACGTTTCTCATCCTGTTTCAATACATTTCTCAATATGTCTCAATAAGTTTCTCTCCTGTCTTCTTCCCTTACTTACCAAAGACCTATCTAACTGTCTTAAAGACACTCCATGTCTTGAACTCCGCAGCCTCTATGGTCATGAGTTCTGGCTGAAGAAATTTCTCCTCATCTCAGTTCTAAAGGGTTGTCCCTTGACAACGAAGTTGTGCTATAAGATCGGAGTTTCTCCTACTCGTGGAAACATCTTCTTCACGTCTATTCAATCCAGCCCTCTCAGTATTTTGTGAAAGGAAAAACAGAGTTAACGTTTCGGGTCTGGCCGGTGACCCTTCCTCAGAAGGAAGGGTCATCAGACCCAAAACATTAACTCTGTTTTTCCCTTCACAGATGCTGCCAGACCTGCTGAGTTTTTCCAGCAACTTTGTTTTTGTGCCTGATTTACAGCATCCGCAGTTGTTTCGGTTTTTATTTAGTATTCCTCTCAGAATTTTGTAAGTTTCAATGAGATAAGTTTTATTTAATGGGACACAGAGGCAGACGAAAATGGTAAAAATATACCAAACAGGTAATTTATGAACAGGAAAACATGACACATTTACCAGTACACCTGTGGAATCATCATGAACAACTACAGTATGTGCACAACCTTAACAGAAGGCAGGAGAGCAAGACAAAAAAGAACTCAGATTTATGCAGAATCTTGTATGAATCAAAAAATCCCAAGGTATTAACCTAACAAATTATCCTGAAATGCTGTCGCTATAGGCATTATATGAACAAGATCCCAGAAACAGCAATTATACGAATAATCTGTTGAGCATTTTGATCATGTTGAGCATTGGCTGAGGGATGAAACTGAACAAGACAATTCCCTGACATCTTCCTTTTTAATGCAGCCATGGAATTTTATTGACTATTTGCTCTTTGGACAGTGTTTTGACTTAACATCTTATCCAAAGGATGGCACCAAAGCACAATATTCCACAGAAGCATTGTCTAGATTATATGATCTAATACACTGTAAATATACAAGTTTTTAATACAGAGGGGAGGTCACTTTCAATTGAACCAAGTGAAAAATACAACACTGTTTTGAATTAAACAAGGCTGAATGCTAATGTTTCAGACATTTCAACATTAATGAGCCATTTCATAAATGAAATATCAAGCATATTCCAGTGGGATACAACATTAAAAGAACCTGACTGGATGTTGAAGGCTCATGACATTCTAATTTGGGTTATTCAATCAGTCTCACTCAATGTTTGAAAGCTGTAATCCATGTGCACCCTATGATATTCTCCATACATGTCAAGCAATTCGAAATCATTCCAACTAACCTATTGCATTGAGGAACTGTGGGATCTTGTTCTGGTATCTGTGTTGCACCGTGTTAAATGTGCGTAGTAATCCCTCCAGACACAGTAACGAAATAGTTCTTCCTTTCTCTTTCTTTCCAGATTCTTCCACTGCTGATGGGATTGAAGTATATCTCCACAGCAAAACTCTGCAAAGCAACAAATAAATGTTGGCGATGACACCAATCGTTTTGTTGCTCAACAAACAAAATTTGTTATTTGTTTGTGCCAGCTATGAATTTATAGAATTTGTTACCTAGCAGACAACGAAAAATACATTTAATTCTCAATAAAATCAGAAAGTGCAAGAAATACACAATATGCCGAGCAGCATTTAGGAGAGACAAATTGTTGCATTTTAGATGCAATCCTCAAATGGAATCTAAAACAGTAAAACCTCTTTTCCCTTCCAAATGCTAGCTGAACTGCTGTGCACTTGCTGCATTCTCTGTTCTTATTTGAGACTGATGTAATCCATTGCTTTTCCTTTCTTTAATACCAGTAAAAATTAAAACATTGACAAGATAATTCTAATATTTTGAAATAGTTAATACACGATGATGCGATATGATTTTATAGATGTACGAATGTGTTTTCTTACCGAGTGATTTCACATAGGTATTTGAATATTTTCTCAGCATTTTGGCCATCTGGTCCATCTGTCTGCCCCGTCTCCTCAAGTTGTTGTATTTTCTGCAATGCCACACTTACTGTGTATCGCATAAATTCATTGCTGGAGCGCAGCACAGACAAACTCTCTTGATGGCTCTGTGTATTATCCCTTGTAGAAGGTGAAGAAGAAAAATAACTCCTTTTAGAAAATTATAACATTGATTTCTGACACATCTTATTAATCCAAATTTTTATGCCAACACGCATTCATTTTAAAGGTAAAGGTATCAAGGGATATGTAGCAACGGCAGGTTCTTGGAGGTGACGCACAGACCAGCCATTATCTATCTGAATGATGAAACATAGTTGTGGGGCTGAATAAATTTTGCAGACTTTTGTCAAAGATCGATAGAGACCATAAACACCAAAGGAAGTTTTAAGATGGAAAACAAAAGTGGTTTAATTTATGATGCTCTAGCTCTATCCTTACAGACCCTTGCAATGCTACAAATGACCTTTGTACCTTGGACTAATGGCGTGAGAAAACATAGATAGCCCAGATTCCTTTTTCTGATCACCACCAGTAAACAGTCAAAGTGGAAACTGAGCAGATGATGTAAATCAAATTTAGGATCTGTCTGTAATCCCCTCTATTGATGAGCAATCTTACTATCTCAGCTCACAAAAAATGAATGGTCATTTGGCAAAGTTCAAGAGGACTAAAACACACCTATATCCCGGCAAAGGCCAAAGCCTCTGGGAGATGAAGTTGATTGAATAATCTGGAATATTTACGACTCTTCAAATTTATAAAATGCAATTGGAAAACAGTGAAGTCACTATGTACTCACAGATTACCCATTCCTTTCAGTAACTTGCTGGGAGAAACAACAGCTTTATTAACTATTTCTCTAAAGAAGCGAATGACACATTTCAAGTGAAAAGAAAATTGTCCTGCTAGCACAAGAACCAGGGAGCTGGGACAGCACTGAAATATTTGGAGATAAAAGCCTTTTCATATCAAATAAGTAAGCTGCACTCAGAGGCATCTTCATGTTTTCTAAATATAGGCAAGAAAGTCGTGATTTGTAGGAATTTATCAAAATGGAAGTTAAAAAAATGAAATAGTTGCATTCGCAGTATTAAGAATAAAAGCAGTGGACATGTTTTGCTGGTTGAATAGCATCAAAAAGAAAGACATGTTTTCAGGTAGGGCTCTTCTATTATATTTTCTTCTTCTAAAAATGCTAATGAACCTGCTACGCATCTCCAGTGTTTTCGGATTTCCCTCTTTCCTTTTCTTTCCCCAAGTTATTCTTCAGTGTCAGAATTTCTGCAGCAGTACATTAATTATTAAGATTGCCTTTCAATCAAAAATAACATAATTGAGAACTTTTCCTCAAAGCACACATAAGCTTTTATGCACACCACTGCATCAGTTCCAAATATCCAGGTTTCACACAAAGTCAGCAGCACCATCAAAATAATTGCTAAATTGTTTGCTAGGCAAGTTTGTTTAATTACATCACAGCTAATACCATTAATGCTGTATCAAATTCAACAAAGTGGGGATGCTTCATACTTGTACCAGAAAGAGGGACAGAAAAGTGTTTATAATTGGCTCCTCCTAAAAAAAAGCATGAAATTTATGTATTTTCTGGTAGTCTTGCCTGTTAAATTATGTAACAGACAATTCTCTTTTAAAATTTGGGGAAGTGGTAGTGTGGTGGTGATAGTACTGGACCATAATCTAGAACCCCAGACTATTGTTCAAGGGCCATGAGCTCAAATCCCACCTTGGCAAATGGTAAAAATTGAATTCAATAAAAGCCTGGAATAAAAAATAGCTCGTTATGGCAACCAGGTCGATTGGTGTAAAAGACCCATTTGGTTCATTAATGTCCTTTAGGGAAGGAACTGTGCTCGCCTTACCTAGTTTGGCTTGCATCTGACACCAGACCCACAGCAGTGTAGTAGACTCTTAACTGCTTCCTGACCAATGAGGGATGTGCAATAATTGTTGACCATGCCAATCACAACAAATCCCATGAATAAATTTAAAAAGCTACAACGTGAAGCACACCAAGATGCTGTTAATGATAGGGTTCAAATCAGCAGGCAAATCTTTATTACCTGAAAAGTGCCGTCAGTAAGCAGGAGACAAAACTGAAGCTGAGAAGACTCCTGGCAGTTTTATTTGAGAAGGGTGACTTGCCTTTCCCAGATTTCTCTTTCAATAAGTCCGAAAGCTTGTGGTAACGGTTGAAAAGGCTTATGACGTTTTCAAATTGATTCAAGCTACAAAAGGATGTTAATAATTTCAATCTTTTCCCACATTAAACATAATTTACTAGTTAAACAATTTAAAATACCCAAGAAGGGATTATACATGAGGTTTGGGAGACAATAAAATTTTAAACGTTTACTCAGACAATACAAAAAGAAGAAATATTCTTCCTTGTTACACATGCTGCAATTTTTCTCTTCTGTAATTTTACTGTAAAGTACAGTTGGCATGAACAGATATGAATCAATTGCTAAAGGGTCCAAATGCAGAACTGCCTGAGCCAGTGTATGAGGTAAACATATGGAAATCAACCAACTACCACACAGCAGAATCATAATGCCACATATTAATAAGGAAGATCTCAATTCCCTTATCTTGTAATCCTTTCCCTACGTCCTGAGGACAGCGACTCATTCACTAATATAGCATCACAATTTCAAGTTACTGTTGTTTGCTTGTTGCCCTAAACTGTAGGCATCATCAGGCTTTTGGAAAATTAATTGGTGTGTAAGCATCTCTGGCAATACCAGCATTTATTTCCCACTTGTAATTGCTGTCAAGAAGTCGCAGGAGAAGCAACTTCTTGAAGTCATTATCCTTATGTTTGAGGCATCAAAGAATGCCATTAGGTGGAGAATTTTCACAACTTTGACCCAATCCCTTTAGGACTACCATAGATAAGCATAACTTTGCTCTCACTTACAAGATATCTATGAACAGTGTAAACTGTAGCCAGTTTCCTGCATCCTTAGCTTGCAGAGGTGGGGTCCATCATCACCCAAGCTGAGAGGCAGACTGACTAAGCACAGATCAATAAACAAATCTGATACCTTCCTACTCTAAACAGCTCAGTATCACATCACAGAGAATATTTACTATTGGAGCCTTTCAGAACATTTTGACAATACGCAAAAGATTAAGAGACAGAAAACTACACAAAACTCAGCAACATGCCGATTTGCAGGATTAGGGAACAATCTACTATCAACACTGAAATTCAAAGTATCACACAGAATATAGAAGCACAATTTGTTACATTAGAACAATATAAATCAGTAGTTAGGCCACAGCTAGAGTGTTGCTGATAATTTTGAGCAGTGCATTTCAAGAAGGATGTGATAATTCTCGAGAGGGGACGGAGGAGATTTACAAAGATTTGACCAGCAACAAATAATCTTAGTAATGAGACAAAATTGAACAGGTTGAGATTATTTTCTTTGGAACACAGAAGGCAGAAGGGAGATTTAACTGAGGTGCATAACATAATGAACAGACTAGAACAAGTGGATTGCAGAAAAGTGAATGACTGGGCCATAGATTAAGTTATTTGAGGAGAATTACAGGAGAGATGAAAAAAAAACTTATCCACAGCCTGGTGAGAGTCTGGAACTGCCTGAAAGGGTGGTAGTGGCAGAAAGCAGAACTGCATTTTGAAAATTACTTTGATATGCATTTGAATGTTACAGCCTACAGAGCTACAAACCAAGAGCTGGAAAGTCAGATTAGGGTGGCAAGCTCCTTTTGGCTAGAACAGACAGGATATGCTAAATCTCCTTAAATGCTGTCACTTTTTTCTTTGCAAATACCATGTAAAAAATTTGTTCTTTATACAAAATATACAAAAACAATCCTGTAATGTGCACTTTGTGGTTCAAATGCTTTTAATCTGGTCAAAATCTATAAAATGACAAATAGTGAGGTTGTAGACATGCTTGCCAAAGTGGTGGGTTTGGTTGCAAATGTTTCGTCACCCTGTTAGGTGACATCGTCAGTGTACTTC